TTGAGTTGTTGTTGTTGAGTTGTTGTCGTCGTTGCACGATGGTGTGGCGTGGTTCATTTCACGAAGTAGCAATTAAAAGCCAGACCATGCCTCTTGCACGCAAGCGAGGGGTCACAGTTGTCGCGATGAAGCCCCGTTCGTGTTGGGCAGTCAAACCAGTCGTGTTCTTGTCAAGTCCTCGAAGCCTCTCTTACATTGAGAATAAGTTTCCCAACTCCCTTGGCTCCGTTGCTCTGATGCCCACAAGACCATTTGAGAACTGCATTGGCGGTGCAGGATCCAAGAGAAACTCTAAAGAACCTTCAAAGCTCGAATGGGGCGTTTTGCAAATCGAAGGGTTGCCTTTTGAAAGCCTGAGACAAAGCCCTGGCCGCCGGGCCTCGTTGCACCGGGGCTTCGAGTGGCGGCTCGACTCGTAGGTGAGCGGCCCCGTGCCGACTGCGGGGCGTCGCCTGAAACCGGCATGGCCGCTGGCTAGACCAGACTCCAGGAATAAGAGGCCTACAGACATGCTACCGCTGCAGCCCCAGAAACGCTCTGCAGCTCTAGACGCACCGGCAACTGGGTTCGCCGACTCTGCTGGAACGAGCCCCTTGAAGCCATTCGTTGGCGCCGGCGTTCCAGGGAGTCCAGAGGTGCATGCGGCATCGCCCCTGCCACGGAAAACGCAAAGACAGCGAGAGAAAGACAGAGAGAGAGAGAGAGAGAGCGGGGGGGAGACGGTGACAGAGATGGCTGTTCTCTGCGGTTCTTCCTCACCAAAACAGTGTCGGGCAAACCGACTCTGAGAGCAAAGACACTGCACAGGCAAGCAAGCTAAAGAGGCCAGCCATGCGCCCTTCGGCAACGGGCAAAACAGGCCGGTTCTTCGGTCGTCGCTCTCCGGACCTTGGGGCTGGTACTGTGCGGGATGGCAACCTCTAGCAGACACGGTCTTACCCTGTCGACGAGCAGGTTGCCCACCTCCAGCGGCTGGGAACGGGGCTGGTGCGACCCAAACGATCAGTCATGCTCCGATGAACCTGCTCTCCAGCACCTGAAAACTTCTCTGCTTGCGGGCTGACACCGAATCTCAAGCTGGTCGTCCATCCGAGCCGAATGCGGATGTCTCGCGGCAGCGTCTCTGTGCGGCTGCGACCAAAGGCCATGCCTTGGGAGTGCCGTCCTGAGACACGCGTGTAAAGGCTGAGGATTTGATTGGCTTACGAGCTTCAAGCTGATGCGATGCTTGCGCTTGTCAAGATACTTCTTAACAATCTGTTTCAACGACGAGCCGGAAACCTTAGCTGAGCGCTCGGCCCCCGAGATCATCTGGGAAAATGGTGCGATCCAGTTCCTCCTGGTCCTAGTCAATGCTCCATCTGAGGACGATGCTCCAATCATGATGTCGTTCGATTGCGTGTCATGTCATAATGTGCACGAGGATAGCTTATGCACGTGAAAAGTGCACTTGTCTACCAAATGCGGTATTAGGTCGAGTTGCCAACTGGAAACATCGACTATCACACTGGAACCCGTTCGTGAACTGGAGCAACTATTCGCGCACTGAAATTCGCCGGATTCACGCACGGTCGGGTGGATTCGCCGGATTCGAGCACATGTCGTGCGGGGGCTAGCTCGCTGTGCCTGAAATGAAATTGAATTGAATTGTGTGAGCTCGTAATGACCTTCAGTTTGAATGCCCCGGAAAGCTGCCTCCTGTGCAAAGCACAAGTGACAACACGACGATGTCTTCTCAAGAAGCCAGACCTGCTGTCGCAAGTAAAGCTGGTGTGCTTTAATCACTTTAATCGCTGGTGCTTGACTCGCCGGGCTTGCTCGAATCGCGTCTCTACGCCGGACGAAAGCCAATGCTCATACATGCCAACATCACCCTACACCTCTCATCGACAACGAGGCGCACTGCATGCTTAACACCTCGCGGCAGAAGCAGCTCATTAGCGCCATCTCGTCATGTTCCTCTTCTCGCTCTCTTCAGAGTCGCACCGGAGCTTTTCAAGATGAGTGTGGCGTATCACATGCCTGTCCTCCGGCCTATCCTCTCCGCTGTATCTACCGGAGACTCAACACGCAACAGGTGTTTCCCATGCATTTTCTAGAAGCTTCGCCGGTTCTGAAAGGCCTTGACGCTCCCCTCAAGTTCTCTCGCAAGCTTCCAGGCTCCTCCGGGCTCCCGGCTTCGGTAGCTCCTGCCCACCTCCACGTAACGCAGGTGGCAGATTTTTGCGTGGCAACAGCTGGCCTCTGCACCGGACTCGCGCTGTCTGCGCTTGAGCTCCAAGGAGATGGCCTTGCATCTGCATCAGACGTCCGAGCTGCATCTCTTCGCTCCAAGCTGAGGGCTGTGCGTAGGCACCAAGGCTTGCACGTCTTCCCACTCCGCGGCCCTCGGCTGTCTGGCCTCGAGCAGGCAACATTCCACGGTGCCCTCCCTTCAAACGCCCATCGCGTGCCTCCACTGCCACCCAAAGCTGCCGGGCCCGGATCAGGAGGGCCATGGCGCTGTCGTACTGCCGGAGCCTCAGCTCGGAGGCGCATAGAGTAGCAGCAAGCGAAGCTTTCCCGGAGCACTGCGCAACGGAGCGCCTCCGGGAAGCCGATGCTGCCTCCATCAGTGTGGTCACCTGTCGCAAACTCAGGGCTTCGAGGATTCCGAGAGTGGTGCGAGCCGCCTAGGTCCAAGCCTCTTCGCTCTTCGAGCAGACAGGCGCCCGCAAGGGCTCATCCTCGGGCCCCGAATTCGGATTCGTGGCCGAGAAGCAAAGCCCCGAAACTTCTCGCCTCGAAGTGCCACCAAGGCACAATGAGCTGTAGACGAAGAACCCAGCCAGTGGATGGAGTGTTCAAGGCCCGCGACTGCAAGAGCGGGGTCATTCACTCCACGAAGCGTTCAGCAATTGAGTCACTTGAGATTCTCCAGGGCCGAAGCTGGGAAGCTACCGACATCTACCGACATAATGGGCTAATGAACCAAGACCAGTGCGACATGCCTGAGGATTGCATCAAGACGAACGAGAGCAGCCAAGCGCATCATGACGAAGGTTGCTGCCTCCTCACGTTCCTGCAGGATGTGTTCGTCCAGGTTCCTTGTGGCTCCCACAGAAACAGGAACATGTGAAAATTAATCCCGGCTCCACATGGATTGTTGAGAGCGGAGGCCGCGGCCGCAGCATCGCTGCTTTGCTGTCCGTCTGCCTGCCACACTCGTCACTCAGCGTAGCGGCGTAGCGAGCAGGCTCAAGCTGTCTTACATCCCAACCCGAGTCCCTGCCACATCGGAGGGATCACAACTTTTGGTGGCTCTGGTCTTTTCCCCAGCCACTGTACCTGGGACACACTGATATCGACCCCCGCTTTGGCTTCTGAAATGTCGTGGCCAGGGTTTTCGAACCTCTTGGGGATCTCAGCTGGTTGCTACAGCTTGAAGCTCCACCTACGGAGGGTCCCGGTTTGGAACGGTCTTAAAGCTCCTACTTTTCACTATGTAAAGCAATAGATTCAATAGGGTCCTAGCAGGATATTGACGGGCAGCATGCGTAAACGGCCAGGCAGCAGCAGACGTCCCTACTACACTTGCAGTACGAGTACCAGTTTCCGCCAAACTTTGCATTGTATCCCAAGCGTCAGAGATAGGATACATAAGGCGATCCTCTCCTTCAAACCTGACAGGAGACTTTAACGGATCGGGCCTGGTTCCATTTCACCGGAAGCTTTCCATAGAAAAGCTCCCGCTTCTTGGGCTGCTTGGCACCCTTTGCCTTCTTCCTGCCACGTGCAACTGTAAGCCGAAGAACGTGGCTTCCTTACACTCACGTAGGTATAACATGGTATAGCATTAGCAAGACCGGAAGCCACTCGCCTATGTTGGCAGCAGCACCCATGCCATGCCGCATACACCCCAAAGAGTGTCGGGTTTGCCCCTTCTTCTTGCCACCGGCTACTGTCTTGCCCAAGGGATTTCTCCTGTCGAAAACAGCCGGTCAAATCTGAAGCTCTCTGCACCCGACTCTGCAAGTATTCAAGGGAACGCTGCGAAGCACACTTCCCACCAACTGTGATCTTGCCGTCTTATACCCAGTCGAACGATTTAAGGCGTCGTCCTCTGCATGTCGTCCTCGGATTGAGTGATAACAGCAGCAATGCCACATGGCATCCAGGACCTTTTGCGTTTCTGTGTGAATGCGCAGCTAAGGCCGATACGATTCGCTCATCTGCGGTCATCGGCTGGACGGGGAGCTTATCCACCACGTGCGCAGGCGGCTTCGGAATGTGGGGATCCTTCAGCCAGAAAAGCAGTGTGAGAAGCGGCACACCCGCCGGACAGCCAAATTCACATACCTGTTCAGACCCACCCACCCCCGCTCCAACAAGCATGTCTCACGCACATCCAAATGCACCCAGCACTGCCTTTCTCTCGGCGAGCAAGGGCAGTTCTGCATCAATCCTGACGACGCAGGTCGCAGTGCAGCTTCGCCAGGAAAGTGCGCAGCATCTCACGCACATACCCAGGGATCTGGCGCTTGCATCACCTCATCCAGGCTCTGGGGACTGATCTCCAAATCTTCTGCCAGCTCCTGCCTTGACCAAGGCGGAAGGAACACTGCAAGAAGCTACCAAGCATAACTTGGATGCGGAAAGGGATTGTTTTGCAGACCGACATGCAACATGTCATCATGGGCTGATATCCACAAGAAGGTAATTGAATTTACCTAGCATACACTGCACTTCTCAGTGGCGGCTGAGGAGCTGCTTCTACAACAAAAGTCTGTATTATCGGGTGCAGAACTGACCGAGGATATCAAGGCCCAGGTGACAGGTGCGACTTATCACAGCATTTGCCTAACCCTCTGAGCAGCAGATCCAAGCGCCCAACGTATCGTGAAAGCCCGTGGTGGCCTGCCCGGTGCAGGGCATACTACTTCAGCTGGAGGCTGCAAAAGTAGAGAACTTTCACTGCGCAGAGGTGGAAAAATCGTGCGCAATGGCGGTAGCATCCCACCTTCAAGTAAAGATCCACCCTGAAGGCCTGAAACAAGCACGACATGCTGAAGCTGCGACGTGGCCTCAAAGACACGACCATCCGGTGTCTCTGCTTCAGTGATGTCCGAGCTCCGGGCTCGCCCGTCCTCTTCCCGCGGCAGCTGCAGCAAGTCACCAAAAATCTCATGGATGCGCTCGACACGGTCCTGTCGCAGTGATACCCGAATCTGCTTGAAGGCTTAATCATAATTGCCTTGTTTGAACCATGCTCAATCAGCACACGCTGGCTAAAGATGACCGGGTGATTGCATATTGCACCATCTGTTTAGTCACAGCTGTGGATGAGAAGTAGCAGAGGAGTGAACGCTCACCCGCCCAACAAGATCAGAAAGGAATCCACCAAGCGATCCAAAAAGCCGAACCGGAACGCCCAATCCTGTACGGGCTCCGAGTAAAGCCGGGGAGGTGTGTGGAAGGATGCCTTCGGGTGGTGCTGCATGGGCAAGATCAAAGTCACAAAGCTTGGTGGGGCTGCGACAGCAACCAGGATCTCCAGCATTTCTGGAAAGAAGAAACCTGGCAAAGCCCTTCAAATGTGGCTGACTGAAGCAGATCCCATCTGTGGCTTAGAAAGCATGCGCCTGAGCTTGTCGGGACAAATGTCGCAGCTTGGACCACATTATTATTATGTGGGTTTCACCAGAAGTCTGTGCCAGCTCCACGTGGCTCGCCAGTCAGCATCCCTTCTGCTGGCATGTGCCACTTCGGCTCCTGCAGGCTGTGCATCATGCAGTCCGCTGACTTGTGAATGAAGCCTCTCAGAACGAGGCACCCTCTCTGTCCTCTTCGCGCTGCAGCATCCGGCCTTCCTTGCCAGTTGAGATGACATCAAGGAAAGCACTCTGCCTTGGAGATGCATAAGTCTAAATTGCCTGCGCGCACGGCGAGAACGATGGAATTCCAGTCAGCAACCCAGAAGGAGAACACAAGGAAGGGTCTGTCATATCACCACAGCGTTTCCTGTAAATCTTGTCGGTAATGTGCCGACGCTGCCGCGCTACACGTGCTTAGTCATCACCGCTCCATGGATGCGCCCCCTTCTTGTTTTAAAGCTGTCGCCTGAAAGAAACGATTCTCTGCAGCGCGCGCAGCACCTTGGATCAAACGAATGCTGCAGGTGCTGACGCGGCAGGTTGAGATACAGCCCTGTCGATGCAACGACAAGTTGTCCAGTCCAAGCTTCCGGTGGCTCCACACTGAGGCGGCAGCTTTGGAATCGGAGCCCATTGACCACGTCTTGAAACTCGCCTGGCTTCGAGCACAAACACTCGGCAGGCATCAACTCTCGTGCCCACTGTACACGCGCATACCCGCAAGCAGGAGAAGCATTCAGCACA